TTAAAGGCTAAGCTTTGATACAAAATTATGGAGAAAAGAAAGACAATAGAAGGGGGTTAAAAAGTGTTAATCAAAAACCCAACCTTATTGAAAGAATGAAGTAATAACGAGACCATAAAAGTATAGATGAAGAGAAAAACACAAAAAAAAACATAAGATATTTTTGTATTGATGGGTCCTAACCACCAAGACTAAGTCTAGTTCTTAATCAACCTGATCAAGTTCCATTATCTTTTGCAAATAATAATATACAAGTATTCTTTGACCTAAGTTCACAAGTCACTTCTGGCTCAACTTAAGTTTCTTTTACTTGCCTCCTCAAACAACTACCCAAGTATTCTTTGAACAACAAAACATCTCCAAGCTTCAACAACCAAGTATTCGAGGGGGGAGAAGAAATTGCATAAACATTTGGAAACTTATTTTTATGAACTACTATCAAGGCAAGTTGATAGTAAAAGAATGAAAAAGAATTTTGAAATAATGATTTGAAAAATTTACATTTACTATCAAGGACAATTGGTCATAAAAATTTGTTGGTTGATGAGTAAATATTGTCAATGAGAGTTGACATAATAAGAAGACAATTGTGAAGTCAATCTTAGGCAATAAGAAGAGGGGGTTGAATTGTGTTCTTTAAGAAAATATATCCTTCAGAAGGTAACCTCCTAAGTGTTCATAAACTTAGCTATCTTATGAAAACACCTTTTGACCAGTTCAATTTTAGTAACAAATTATACAATAATATATAAAGCAATAAAACAAGTAAACAATTAAGAGGATAGAGTTAGAGAGATTGCACACTAAGTTTCATACTAGTTCACCCCAAACTAGACTGCATCCAGTCCTCATACAACCTTGTGAGATTTTTCACTATCATAGTCATTATTTTCAAGTTACAACATCAACAACCTGTTGATACAGATTCTTCACTACACAACCTCCTACTGTTAATGATTCTCACTCGGCCACCTGTTGAAATTTCCCCTTCTCTCTCAATAACCTGCTCAGATACCAAACCTCATAGCCACTTGTTATAAGATCTTACAACTAGTAGGTTGACTTCTTTTCTTTCCTTCTTACACCTTTACAATTCAGATCTAGGTAGGAAAAGCTCTCTACAAAAATGGGTTTGTGTATCCTAGCTCTCTATTAAGGTCACAATAGATTGAACTAACTAGAGCTTCCACTGAGGAAAATTTACACTTTGTTTATCTATTACAAGATTGATACAAATGTAGAAGTGGAATTATATGAAAAATAGAGTATGAGGCAAGGATCACACTTTGATAGCTTGTGTTTTCATTTCTCTATTTGGTTTCGCTTACTTTATAAATGTAGCATTGGTCATCTCTTTATAGCATTCAAAATAGGTCTATTGGAGCTTGCTTACTTTTTAAGCAATGTTGACATCAACTTGTACTTTACTTTTTAGTGTTGTCAATAATTTCTTCGGAAGTTGTTACCTTTTGAGTTTCCTTTTCTTTAAACTTTTTAAGTAAAGTCTTCAATACCAGTCTTCTTAGAAGCTAAGTTTTTACTGAAACTTTTTGATGAATGGTTCAAAGAACTAGACTATTAAGCCAAGTCTTCAAAGCATTTTCCCTAATTGAAAATGTTTAACTTGAACTCCTTTGGTCAATAGTCATTGTGTGCTCATCAAAACAGCCAAGACCATGGTGCTACATAACAACTCAAGTAGTATTTATTAAAGCTTCTAAGTTGTAACACTTGTTAAACTTCTTAGTACTGAACAAAATAAATCTAAAATACTTTAACAAATTTATTAGTACTTCACATGAGAAATATTCATTATTAAAATTTGAAGCAAAGAATTTTTCATTATTAAAATATAAATTAAGGCAGGATTCAACAAGTTGATAGTAAAAGATTGTAAAGATTTTTTTATGAGTAAAATGATAGATAGGGGATGAAACCCCTATGACGACCTAAGAGCGAACCAATGACATGCTGGAGATTTTTAGACTAAATACCATTATCTACTCAATGGTATTAGAAAAAAAAACAAAAGAAAATGAAAATGAAAGAGAAGATGAGTGTATTTCCATTCAAATGATAGAAACGATAGAACAAAAATTAACTAATCCTAGGCAAGCTTTGATCACAATCTCTTCATCATCCTTGAATCCCTTTACTTCCCCATCATTTCTCACACTTCATCAAATTTTTTTACAATAAATTAGTCGTTATAAACTTATTTTAAAAAAATACAAAAAGTGACAACTATGCAAACTAAAAATAAGTTTTCATGCAGGAACAAAACAAAGGAAAAACTGTTGGATTATATATAATTAAGAGTGCATAGCAGATACATCAATCTAGATGATAGCCACACCACATAGAAATTGAAGTAAAGACAATGAAGAAAGAATTTAACATTAAAGTCGATTCGAGAGACGATCAGAAAAAAATATCCATAGCCAACATTCCCGTGTAATAAGAGGAGTCATTCTCAAGACTCATGAAGTGCATAGGTCTATGAAGTACCTCCTCTGTAGAAGCCTCTTCTAGCCTCCTAACCATGGACCTAGTTAAAGATCCAATGGTCTTTAAATGTGTAGTCTCCTCGGATGCTCCTCCATCAACAACTTTGATAGCTTGTGTTTTGATTTCTCTCTCTGGTCTTGTTTACTTCATAAATGTATCCTTGGTCATCCTTTTATAGCATTCAAAATAGGTTCGTTGGAGCTTGCTTACTTTTTAAGCAATGTTGACATCAACTTGTACTTTACATTTTAGTGTTGTTAACAATTTCTTCAAAAATTGTTACCTTCTGAGTTACCTTCTAAGCAACCTTATCTTCAAACCTTTTAAGTAGTCTTCAATACCAATCTTTTAAGCAGCTAAGTTTTAACTAGAACTTTTTAATGAATGGTTCAAAGAACTAGACTACTGAGCCAAGTCTTCAAGGCCATTTCCCTAAGAGAAAATGTCTAACTTGAACTCATTTGATCAGTAGTCATTGTGTGCTCATCAAAACAACTAAGACCATGGTGCTACATAATAACTCAAGTAGTATTTATTGAAGTTCCTAGGTTGTAACATTGTTAAACATCTGAGTACTGAACAAAATAAATCTAACACACTTGAACAAATTTATCAGTACTCCACATGAGAACTCTTTATTATTAAAATTTGAAGCTAAGAATTTGTCAATATTAAAACATAAATTAAGGTAGGATTCAACAAGTTGATAGTAAAATATTGTAAAGATTTTTTTTGAGTAAAATGATAGATAGGGGATGACACCCCTATGACTACCTAATAGCGAGCCGATGACATGTCAGAGATTTTCAAACCAAAATACCATTATCTACTTAGTGGTTAGTCGAAGCTTAATAATGTTCAATTTGACCAAAAAATTTACTTGCAAATTGAAGGCTAGTAGAGATATTGTAAAGGGCTTTGAAGTAATGATTGACAACATTGTTATTTGTTACTAATGTCCACCGATAGTAAATAGGCTTTGAGCAGAACATGTAACACATTGATGGTCAAGGGAGTGTCGGGGCATGGACAACCCCACAAATGACCATTTTTTATTAATTGATTGATCTGTTTTATGGCAACATGTCTGGTGAACCAACACTCTAATTACTGTCTACTTGTTTGTATTTAGTAGAACATTACTGAATCACTTGATAGAGTGATGTTAAGCTCTTCCTTCACTAAGCACTCAAAAGAAAAATATTCATGTAATAATGAATCAAAATTATTTTTAAAAGTATTTTTTAGTCAAAAATTTGTATTGCATTACTACACTGTGTATTGTGAATTATATTAGGTATGAATTATTTTTATTGTTTTGTATGATATTTATTTTACTTGAATTGAAATTAAATGTCTAAACCTTTAAATACTGAATCTCCTAGATTCTATAGATTTTAGGATGCAGGAAGATAAGAGAAATATGTAGAAAATTTGTTCAATGCGGTTTGGAGCATTAAAAATTTTGAGGATAATAAGAAGGAATATGATTTGTAATATATAATAATTTTGAACAATTTATTTTTATGTTATAGTACTTTAATAATCAATATATAACATGTTTTAGTTTAATCTAAATTTGTTTTATTTTCACTATATTTCAATAATTATTATAAACAAGTATAAAAAAAATTGGAAGTATTAAATATAATACAAGACTTAAAATTTGGGATATACCACAAATTTCATATTGGGAAATAAAAACCTACTCCCTATTTTGGGATATATATCATTACAAAGATGAATCACAGATTATTTACATCTCCGTGGTCTAACTAATATTCACGTGACATATAATTAAAAAAAAATTATGAGAAAAGTTAATAACATAGAATCAAATAGGTTTTGGACTATGTAATTATCTATTTTTTGGGATGTATAGATCAAAAGAAAAAGATATAAATGTAGGTAAAAGAAAACAAAATTGATAGATCTAATAAATAATACGATAAAAAGATATTAAAAAAACTAAAGAAAAAGAAAATGAAAGAGAAGATGAGTGTATGTTCATTCAAATGATAGAAACGATAGAACAAAAATTAACTAATCCTAGGCAAGCTTTGATCACAATCTCCTCGTCATCCTTGACTCCATCATTTCTCACACTTCATCAAATTTTTTTACAATAAATTAGTCGCGATAAACTTATTAAAAAAAATACAAAAAGTGACAACTATGCAAACTAAAAATAAGATTTTATGCGGGAACAAAACAAAGGAAAAAACTGTTTGATTATAAATAATGAAGAGTGCATAGCAGATACATCAATCTGGATGATAGCCACACCACACAAAAAATTGAAGTAAAGACAATGAAGAAAGAATTTAACATTAGAGCCGGTTCGAGAGACGGCCAGAAAAAACGATCCATAGCCGGCAATCCCGTCTAATTGCCAGCACAATCTATTTCAGCTCCTTCCTTTTTCCCTCCCTTTAAAACCCTTTTCATAGGACTATAAGTCATATCATATATCTCCTCAAAATTAATATTGCACCATTAATATCTCTCCTTTCGTATCTACCTTTCCATGGGGAAGCATCAAACACACAAAATCAATAATGGGAGCACTAACAATAACCTTAATGCAACTAACACCGTGACCACCAAGGTGAAACGAACAAGGAGAAGTGTCCCTAGAGATTCTCCACCTCAACGTAGCTCAATATATAGAGGAGTCACTAGGTTAGTCCCCTTAAATTTGTTATATGAAAAAAAAAATAGTTATTTGATTTTGATGTCATTTCCCATTACATTTCTTCACTTGATTTCTTGTAATTTGAAGAAAATTAAGTATAATAAAATGGGTTTTCATTGAACCAATATCAGGCACCGATGGACAGGCCGATATGAAGCTCATTTGTGGGACAAGCATTGCTGGAATGAGTCACAGAACAAGAAAGGACGACAAGGTTTCATGCCCTTCTTTTTTTTGGTTTTTTTTTTTTTTTACTAATAAGCAAGTAAACTCAATTTATGTATTTGTATTTAGCTTGTTGAAGTCACTAACGTGTTTCTTTTCTTGTGGTTACGATTATTCACACATCATACGTCAGTCTACCTCGGTACGTATATATATAGTACTGTATATTGATTGAATATTGGTTGTTTTGCCTTATAACCAGAAAAATCGAAAGAATCATCCAAGTAACTAATTAGTGATGCTCTTTTCTTGAAGGTGCTTATGACGATGAAGAAGCCGCAGCACATGCTTATGATCTAGCAGCATTGAAGTACTGGGGTCAAGATACCATTCTTAATTTTCCGGTACCTATCTCTAAATTAATGCACCCTACGCTGTGATGTTGTTTTTTCTTTGTGATTTGCGTAATTAAAATATATTAATTTAGAAAAAGAAAACTAAAACACCACATCTTTTTTTTTTTTTTTTTCAATTGTAGTTGGCGACCTACCAGAATGATCTGAAAGAAATGGAGGGTCAATCCAGGGAGGAGTACATTGGATCACTAAGGAGGTAAAGCTCTTCTTGCTTCTCTTATATAATACTATGTTTCAAGATTTATTATCATAGGAGCTACACACTATTCTTGTTCTAGTGTTCTTTTAAAAGAAAATTAAAATTAAAAAATTGCAGGAAAAGCAGCGGATTTTCCCGTGGAGTTTCTAAATACAGAGGTGTTGCAAGGTACTATATATTCTTTCCGACCTTGATATACGACATTTTTAATTAAATCACGTTATTATAGCAGTTAATTTTATTATATTTATCATTAAATTTTTATGAGAGAAATGTAGGTATTATTCATATCAAGATTTATGTATCAAGATTAATAAAAAATAATAAATATCAATTGAATGGAGTTTAAGAAGTGAGAAAAAAATACATTCTCACAATCTTTAATTAGAACAAACAAAAAAATATTTAATACTTTTTAAAAATTGTAAGATATTTTATAAAAAAAATTAAAAAAAAATTCTAAACCATAACTTATAATAAGGAAATATAACAATTAGTATTGCCATTAGTCACTTATTCTACGGAGTGAGAATCTGATTTTAACGGCATCTGCCTATAGACCAAAATAAACAGAAATGATTGTAGTTGAAATTTCACGAATCTGATCTGATGTTCAACGTTCAGACACCATCACAACGGAAGGTGGGAGGCTCGTATTGGCAGGGTTTTCGGCAACAAATATCTTTACCTCGGAACTTATGGTAAGACTTTGCCCATAATTAATTCTTCTAACACCATATATACCTAGCATTGAATAAATGGAGAAAAAAATATTACTAATATAATAGAAATCTTTTATGAATAATGCTATGTATATACAACAACAATTATACAACAATATTTTTATATTTTTCTCTCTCCATTACTCATAAATATAGTAAATAACAGAGAAAAATAAATATAAAAATGATATTATTCAAGTTATTGTATAATTTGTTGTACACATGTATATAGCATTACTCATCTTTGATATACCAATAAAGAGCAATAATATACAAAATCCATGCAATCTTTTCTTATTATTGTTTTCCTTAACGAGTAAATTTAGTTTCTCGACTCTAGCATGCATTTATGTGTCAATCCATCTAATCATTTTGTAAGTCCCATTTTCTTTTCCATTCAAACTTAAGACGCTAGCTACTACAACCATGTACAACGAAACTTAAAGAGCATAACACTGACAATTACTTTACATTATAGAATCTCGGAAGTTTTAATTTTCAATACTTATTTTCTCTGGTTTTTATCCATTGCATGACTTTACCATATTTGACATGTCATATTTTTGTCTCTTTTTCCCTTATATTGTTGTATAAACTGTTGCGAAAAAGCATTATAGAAATAGCATTATTCCTCAATATCAATGGCATAATCAATTATCGTTACGAATTACGTTTCAGTCGCAATCAATAGGGTAAAAAGTGCCACCAACCCTAACTGATTTGTTAACTTAACCTTCACTTACGTATACAACGACAATGACACACACTAATTTAAACGGGTCGTTTTTCTAATTTTTACAGCGACCCAAGAAGAAGCTGCCACAGCATATGACATGGCAGCAATTGAATATCGAGGACTGAACGCCGTCACAAATTTCGACCTAAGCCGCTACATCAAGTGGCTTAAGCCCAACAACAAAACCAACATAATCAACTCTAATCTCATTGACCCTGTGCCTAATATTGAGAACGACTTCACCCCAAAACCTAATCAAGAAAAAGGGTTGAATTTTTTCCGCAGCCAAGAGCCATTGAGCAATGAAGAAGGGACACTGACACTGACTCAGCCTCGGCCAGCTGCTGCCACGTCAGCCCTAGGGCTGTTGCTTCAGTCTGCCAAGTTTAAGGAGATGATGGAGATGACATCCGCCGCGGATTTGTCGGCACCGCCGCCGGACTCTGAGCTGCCGCCGTGCACGTTTCCCGATGACATTCAAACGTACTTCGAGTGTGAAGATTCCAATAGATATGGAGAAGGGGATGATATCATGTTCAGTGACCTAAACAGGTTTATGCCCCCTATGTTCCATTGTGATGACTTTGAGGCTTGAAGGTCTAGGGGTTCTAATTCACGTACCCGGAAACAAAATATTGATGGGAGTTGCTTCTTAATTTATTATTTCATTTTTAACTTAGGCTTATTTCTCAGTTTGTGAATATGGAACATTAATTTGTTGGCAGCAAGACATTGATCAGAAAATAAACAAGAAGATTGAATTATTAGGGAAACTGATCTTGGATTAGTAATCATGGTGAAAGGAGGATGTCAAGTAGTTTATTTGTTGTAGTTGTAAAGAGAATAAGCATCTCAAGAAAAAGCAAGACAAAAGGTGCAAAATAAGCATATTCTTTTTCCTTTTCAAAATGAGTACTCTTGTTATCTTGTATCGAATTATTAAATCAAATTATCTAATCCGTCCCGATTATTTTTATTATTTTTTTTGTAAAATTTATTATTTATTTTTTTATTAATTTTATAATGTTCGTTCTAATTCGTCCATCATTTAACATATAACATATATCTTGAATATGTCATTTCATTAAATTGACATTATAAATTTGTTGACAATGCGTTATCAAATTAATAAAATGACACTTTCAATCTTTTTTTATAGAATGCAAGTTCGTCTAATCTAACTATTGTATTTTTTTATATTACTATTTAGTGCAAGTATACCAAATTATATATGATTATAAAATTATTTAGTAGTTTATCATTTACTTAATTTTAATGTATAAGATGATATTCAAAATACATATAAATTAATATCCATTGTTAGATAACATATCTAGAAAAGGCCGAGTCATTTAAAATTTGATATATGTGATCATGAGCGTAATATAATCGAATACAACAGTTGGAATGGTTAAATTTACATTTTATAAAAAATTATTCAAGGTGTCATTTCACTAATTTGACACAATGATGTTAATGAATCATGTCTTTATACATATGTGTGTGAGGGGGGAGAAACCTAATAGCTCGACCAAGAATAAGTTTTAATTAGTATACTTACTTTACTCAATAACTAATGAAGATTTCTAGGGAAATGGTAGATGAATTCTCCTTAGCAAATAGCAAACAAATAGCAAACAAACAAAAAAAATGGAGTACAAAGAGTAATGATGGTGCCCCACCATCAAGAGAAGGATAAGCAAAAGAGGATGAAATTGGTACAAGGAGAAATTCTTTGATGAAAGTTCTTAAAGAGAGAAATCCTCCAAATAGAGAGAACAAGACTTTGAAGAGAAAATTTTGGAAACTCAATTGTCATATAATACTCAAAGTGACATCCAAAGAGGGTGGATACAAGTATATATAAAGTTTGGTAGCTTATGGTGCAAGTTAGGCTAACCAAGATTAGGTGTAACCAAGGTTCAGTTAACTTGTGCTCAAGCTAACTAACTATAATTTAAATTTTAAATTTGAATTTGAATTTAATTTTTTCCTCCTAAAGATGTAAGCATCCTAGATCTAAAAGATCAAATAAGATATTGTCACATGGCAATGTGCAAAAGGTGTGATGAGGGTATGTTACTAGAAAAATGGGTGTAAAAGAAGGCATGGAAAAAATGCGATTAGTGTGTGGAACATGTGACTTGTGGGTGATGTATGAACCAATGAAGGAGTGTGAGGAATCAATTTGGAAGTCACACACAAGGAGAAATTCTTTCCCTTGTGGTAATTTAATTTGTTATTCGTGAATTTGTACTTTCCATTTATTGCGCTGCATAACAAGTTCAATTTCAATGCTCGCCTAAGGATACTAAATGACACTACCAAGAGAGATTCCTTTATTAAACTATACTAAAATATGTTTTAAAGAAATGAAAACTTACCAAAGAATTTGGGACTTTGAAGTACAAGGGATGTATATCTAGTGTTCAAGATGAAGGCGTGCAAATGGATAATTATCAAGGATAAATGAGATAATTATGCCTAACTATTGTAAAACATGAATTATGTTGCATATTACCAAATGGATAATTTGGGACCAAAGCTATTAGTCTTAGACCCATTATGATTAGTATAAATAGTAATGTATATTAAGGTGTAGCGTACCGAGCTCCTAGTGATCGAGTAGACTAATCGCTTAATTAGATTTTTTGTGTCTTTTACAATCAAGTCTAGAGGGATGAGTACCATACTGGTTTCTCGCCAACCAAGCGAACCGAGTAGGCCCTTTAATAGATGATTGACCAATTCATCAAATTAATATGCCACTGGACAATACTTGATTATTTTCAAACCACTCCCCCCACAATTAGTTGGGAACAAGGCATCATAATTTACAGAATAAGCATGGTAACGTTCATAAGTCAATTTTTATGGACTTATTAATGTTAACATGATTTGCGAGATTATAACAAAGGGGTTCATGTCTATAATATTGCCTCAATTTATATATAGGGATTCCTAGGTCTTAGAAAAAAAGTTAATTTTACACTCACTTAATACTCTAAATTAGGACAACCCGTTAGATTTTTCTAGAAGAGGTTCCTTATTGGAACGTTTGGCGCTCACTATGAGGCTCGACAAAACTTTTTCTTATGCCTCTCTTTCTTATTTAAAAATGAGTTTATTCCCCAAAATCTAGATACAATTTTCAAATGAGACGACGAAAAACCACTTTTGTGATCTCCATTCAAGCAAACATGATAAGTGTCTAATTTCCATCTCCCATTTTTTAATGTCAAAATTTATTTTATCAACCTTTAAAATTTTCACTTTTACAATTGTGTGGATATACTAATAATTCATTCATTTATCATTATTAATGGAAGATGTAAAGTAGGTCCATAGGAGACTACCATGCTATAGAGCACTCTAGACTCAAACATAAGGGTGAGAAAAGTTTATACTCTAGTTTGTTCGCCTTATTGATGGAAAATTTTCAAGATGGTTGGGATTTAGGCTTTCGAGTTTAGGATTTAGAGTGTGAAGAATCTATGTTCTAGTTTATTCACCCCGTCGGTGACATTTGAGGGACCTTGGAAGCAAAGTTGGTTTAAGTTGAGAAGATGGACATTGTTAGGCCCGTATGTCGAGATTTGGAAGCTGGACGATTACGTCTTATCTCGAGCATTTAATTAGAGATGCATGTCATTTTGTTGACTTTTCAAGTTATGACTACTTATGCCATGTGGTTTTCCAAAAGTGGCAAAGATTTAAAAGTGTATTTATTACAATGCAAACGTGTGTCTTATACACATTACTATTTATTTCATTTCCCACCACATTTGACGACTTTTTTTTTAATATATCATTTTTTTATTTATTTAAATAACTTGAGCCCCAGATTATTTATCTAAATAACTCATTTTGTAAGAAATTGGTTACCTAATAACCGATTTCTCAAAGAGTTTTTTTAAAAAAATTTCAAAAGTCCTTTGAGAAATCAGTTACCCAGTAACCGATTTCTCTATTGAGCCTTTTTTTTTCATTTTTTGGTTTTTTTTGTGTTTTTTTTTTGTTTTATATTTCTTTTTTCTTCTTTGTCCATAATTTATAAAAAAAATTATAATGAAAATTTTAAAAAAGTATATTTAGTTTAGTTTATTTATTAAAATATTTAAAATATATATTTTATTTAAATTCAAATATTTTTTTAAAATATTGTTTTGATTAAAAAAAAGAAATAATCAAAAAATAGAGATAATTTAATTAAAAATTGTCAAATAAAATATGTATTAAAATATATATTTTAATAATGAAATTAAATTTTTTAAATATATATTATAATACATATGTCATGCTCCCATGTTGTTGCTGCATGTAAGCATGTTCACCACGATTATAAATCTTACATAGATCAGGTATACACATTACAATATGTTTCAAATGTGTATAACGAATTATTTGGTGAATTGCCCAATGAATCTTATTGGCCAGATTGTGAAGAACCGCAAATCATACCAAATTCGGAAAAGATTAGAAATAAAAAAGGTTGTCCAAAGTCATCAAGAATACGCACTGAAATAGATATGGTTGAACCAGGACAACCAAAAAGATGTTCTCTCTACAAGAATGTAGGTCACTCAAAGAAGAAATGTCTTTATCATCAAGGGAGTTCAAGTCATCATGCTTAAAATGTGATGAAACATTACAAAAGTTGTACTTTATTTTCTATTATTTTATATACAAATAGTCTTTTTTTTTCAAATTTTATTTAATATTTATTTCATTATTTAATTTTATTCTAAAAACTTAACTAAACTTTTTTTTAAAATAATATAATTTTTTTAAAATCTGAAAAACTAAAAATTGAAAAACAAAAAAAGAAATATAAAAATATGAAGAAAAAAAAACCAAAAAAACAAAAAAACAAAAAAACAAAAAAAAATGAAAAAAAAAGGCCCAATAGAGAAATTGGTTACTGGGTAACCGATTTCTCAAAGGACTTTTGAAATTTTTTTAAAAAAGCCCTTTAAGAAATCAGTTACCCAATAACCGATTTCTCACCTGGGGCCCAAAGTGGGTTATTTAGGTAAATAATCTGGGACCCGGGTTATTTAAATAAATCAATAAATAACAATATATTTAAAAAAAAAAAAAAAAAAAGTCCCATTTGACGCGACTCCTTGAGACCTATGAAAAGGAGGGATAATGAAATTATATAACATTTTATGCTCCTTAGTGCATTCTCTGACAGTGCTAGTGCGATGCGATAGTACTCGTTTTACTCACTGGCCATCGTCCACAACAGGTATTGAATATTTAGTGGTCCGAACACCTTACGCACCTACTAGGTGCGCATTCTCCTTGGTCATGCCTGAGTATTATTTTGTTCTTCTAAGAATTTAGGTCACCATAAACAATTAGGTTGTGTAGTGTCTGGGTAGAAGGATGGAATATTAGCAGCTGTATCCATGGGCAAAGAATGATGTGCTACAAACTGATGATTCTCTAATCTTCATCCATGGATTCAAACTTCATAAACATCAAATAAAAATGGTAGAGAGTTAGTATAACTGATGTGGCATCTTCAAGTGAAGGATAAACAAGAAGGATGAACTTGTTATAAGGAAGAATTTCTTGATACAAGTTTTTAAGGAAGAAGTTCTCCAAGTAGAGAATAGCTTTTGAAGAGAGAATTTTAGAAGTCCAATTCTTATTCACATCAAAAGTGATGACTTACATGTAGGAGATATGTATATATAGAGTTGATAGCTTATGGTGCAAATTAAGCTAAACATGGTTACATGTAACCACGGTTTTATTAACATGTACTCAAGCTAACTAATTCTAGTTACATTTTTAAATTTGAATTTCCCTCTTAAAAAAAATGTCACTATTCTAGATCTAAGGAGACAATGAGAACATGTCAAATGGCAAGGTGCATAAGGTGTGACTTTATGTCAACATTCCAATCTAGAAAAGCTAATGAAAGCATGTCATATGACAAGGTATTAAACATCCACTTAGACCATACATGTTTTCCACTCTCTCTTGGGCCAAACAAGCCTAATAAGCACATATCCAAATACTAGTAGCACTCTCTTTAAATTACTAATTACACCCCTAAAATGAAAATTAAACAAGAAAATAATTTCCTACACTATTTGATACATAAATACAAGGTCAAAATTAAGAGAATACTGAAAATGAAAAATATATACAAATAATAGAAAGAAAACTACCATGCTTTTTCATATATTTTTCTTCTAAGAGTTTTTCTTCTTCTTTTATATTTATAAGTTCAAACTCTATACGTGCTTCCAATTCTTCCTTATCTCTCCTTTGTCATTCTTTTTCTAACTTTTCCTCCTTTCTCGAAAGTTTTAGTTCCTTTAGTTGAACCATTATTTTTTGAAAGATTTTAAGGTGAATTAGAGTCACTGCCACTATGAAAAGACAATCTTGGATCTCTCAATATTTGATGTTTTAATGTTAACAAACGAAAAACTTTTACAATAGAAAATGTCTTCAAAAATGTCTTTGAAAATGTTTATCAGATGAAATGTAATATGCAAATTGTCTATAAGACGATGTGAATCAGGCGATACATACAATCTGTCTCATATTCATTAAATGCTCATTATTTATTGAGACTAACGAGAATATTCATTTAAATATCTTAATTCTTAACAAATTGAACTAGAAAGTCATTTTGGAACTCACAAATCTGTTAAAGAGAACAAGATCATGTTTTTTGACAAGATTAAGAACAATGATCCTTAAAATCATAGAGAAAAGCAAATAAAGTCATTGTTATTGCTACTATGCTGACATTGTTTTTACAAGCTTTGTTTAGTATGAAAAGTTGATAAGTAACTTCCTTAATCAAATAAGAGGTATCATTTGATAAAATACATTTAATGTTTGCATTAAATGAGTCTACGATTACTTGTCATCTCAAGGAAAGACGTTGAAGATAGGCAAAAAAAACTTGTGAGTTGGACTTAGTGTTGCAACGATCTAATTTCTTTTATTGTGCTTTTAGGATAATTATTTTTTGTATTGTATTAGACATCAATTGACTTTTGTTTAGTTAAAATGTAACACTCTTGTTGGACAATTCAATTTTATTTAACAATAAATTTATTTTAATTCAATTTTACTTATTATATTAATTATAGTATGCACGGTAAAAAGTGTCAAATTAAAATGATGAAAGGACGAGAGTATACAACACAATATTCAAAGATTAAAAAGTTAAGTTTAAGAATCAAATGTGACCTATCTTGACAAACCAATGAGTCAAAATTATTCAATTCAAAGTATCATATAATTCATTACAATTCAAATTACAGTTCAATTCAAGTTTTTATAATACAGTTCAATGACACAAAAAAATAGTTCAATTCAATTCTTTTAAATTATTATTCAATTCAATTCACTTCATGATAACTACTTTTAAGTTCATTATAAATTTTATAAGTTCAATTTAGTTCATTTTTCCCACTCCTCTCAATCTGAGAGCTCAGGATGCACTTCCCTTTATTACCTCATAGTACCTCTCGATTGATTATAAAGCAAATTGATGATTCAATCCTTCAAAATTTAGGAATAAGAATACTTAAAATTTCAGGCAAACAAACAATTTTGATATTTGTCATTATTCAACACTAATGTATATCATCGCAGCAATATCAATCTTATGTTTCAATACCGGTATTACTGGGATGAAAATTTGGGTGACAAAGCGGTCAATCTTAAATCAATAAATTGTCATTTCCCTCTACAACAATAGAACAGAATGTTTGAGATATTCTATTCCCATTACATCTTACACTCACTCATCCATCCCTTCATGGCTGATTTTCACTGTCTGCATTACAACAGCGATAACTACACTTAATATTTTGGCAAATCATACAGCTGTTACAACGTAATGCTTGCATTTGATGTTCGCTTACGTTTTGAACCCCAACAGAGTTCCAGCTTCCCAATTTTCTTTTTCGTCCCTAGAAAGCCTTGACAATTTGCTGCGCCACAGTAGCATTTCACCTCTGGACCAAATTGCACAAATCTACATAACGAAAAATCCAGATAACGTTAAATCTCTATTATCAGAAATTACACAAAATGGGACAGTAAACAAGACTACCTGATAGGTACCGATTAATTAGTTATGTACTTATTAGGTTAGTTGGTCAAAGAAATACAAGGGTATAAGTTTGAAAGAGGGGGAATGGGCCAGCAGCTAATTAGGTCTTGTTATGAGCTGTAGAGCAGTAGTTGCCTATTGTGATTGAGAAAGCAGTGTAAGGAATCGTCTATTGCTTCCCCTAGTTTCATTCGGTAAACAAAAATGTTCTTTCTCCCTGTTATGATAACAATTCTATCAAGTGTCTGAGCAGTTGACCTGGGCATTGTGGCTACAAAATCCAGATTTTGGACCTTTCTTGATCAGAAATTCATGAAAGATTCATCATGACATGGTGACAAACCAAGAGCTAGAAGCCAGAATAGAGGAGATTCAATAACATGATGTGCAACACCTGAGCAAGATCCAGTTTGAAGTGCTGGGGCACGTAATGGATTCTTCGAAGGAGATAGTGAAAAAATTGCGGGCAAAAACAAATACGGGTAATCCTGTACTTGTAACACGATCTAGTAGGCTGAGGAAAAGAGGAGACATTATCAAGCAAAAGGTGGATGACATAACCCACCAATCTGTTTCCACTGTTTGAGGGAATGGGTATTGGCATTGGAGAACCAACTATGAACAATATTTCATATTGGAGGAAGAAAATAGAAATCAAAATGAAATTCTAAGGATCAAGGGCCAAGAAAAGAATCATGGTGGCAGAGATGAGTCAATTGGTGGATGGACCGAGAAAAGAATCAAGATATGCAACAAAAGAAACAAAGGGAGATGGATCATCAATAGTGGCAAAGTTACGGAGCTCAAGCATCTTGACTAAGCTTCCCTCACTGGATAACCAAAAATAGAAATACGGAAAAGTAATTATTGAAGAAGATGAATGTATTACAGAGATGAAAACTCCAATACCCACAAAGCAAAGCTCCCGACTCACTAATGGAAGTCAAAAACTGATTACCCCCACTCATTCTCATTAAAAAGGCTTACACAAATGCATCACTATCACTCCGAATTCCCTTTTGTACCCTCCTACTCCAATTATTTATTCCTTCTATGTACGTGATAGGAACCACCCAATATTTAGGAGCAATTGTGCCAGTTATGAGTAGAAAATAACTGCTCTAGCAATCAGATATGTATTAAAAATTGCAGGGTGACAGTTATGCATAAAAAGTAACAACTAGTAGTTAGTTATTGTTCAGAGATGATTTTATTAATATTATCAATCTCAACTTGCCTATAAGCTCTTGAAATCTACTAGTAAAAAGTCCCTTACTTAGTAATTACATCTGCCACATGGAGTTCTGAAGGGACATAAGCTGTAATAATAAGACCACTATCGAATTTCTCTTTGACGAAGTGTCTATCTATCTCAGTATATATGGTCCTATCGTATTGTATAGGATTGTGAGCAATCCTAATGGTTGACTTGTCACAAAACCACTTTATAGGTGTCAAGCCTCACAAATTAGATAGCCTAGTCCAACTCAACCAAGGGTCTAGAAGACATAAAGCAAGAAGAATACAAAAGAATAGAAGTAGAAGGGTAAAAGAGGAAATTATGCAATGAGGGATGCTGAGTTAGTTATGCTTTCGTGTAATCCTATTTAGGGAGAGAAGGAGAGGGAGTAGGCAGTTTTGGTGAATTTTATTAGTTGTGGCTCAAGATTTGTGCTTTATGGGTATTGTAGATTTTATCTCTATAATACATTCATCTTTTTGAATAATATAGTATCTTTCATTTTTTTTTCTAGTCACTAAAAATTGGTCCGACTTGTTGAATCCGTTGCCTATGTCAACAATGAAAGAGTTTATGCTCAATATGCAAAGGAACCTCAACAATGATGGAAGGTTATGTCACCTCAAAGGTAATAGTGAAGAATTTGGTGGAGAGCCAGGCAAAATCCTAGTCGACAAGGTTGTCAAACTCTTAAGTAGTATATGATCCCAAGTAAGGAAAACAAGTTAACCCTACAACAAACTTTTGAATAAACTTGGGTAAAGTCTTTAAACTTGGGTAAAATCTTATTAACTCTTGAGTCAAGAAGCAAGTTAATGGGTTTGAAATCAAATGAAATTTTTGGTCTTATTGACTCCATAGTGTTAATATTTCATTATGACTCAAATGATTTAAAGAAATCAACTCCCTTTTCAAATATTTTCACTTTAAGAACTATATTTATATGAAATTATATATAATTTGATAATTTATGTAGTTTAATCATATTTAGTTCTATGTACTATAACACTTACTGTAGTTTAGTACTTTGCCTTTTTAAGAAGTTGAAATGCTGAATTATTGTTGTATAAAGAATATTATGTTATGCATATATGTCATTAAAAGTTTTTTAATGTTATTTTTATAATAAGTAAATTCTTCCTAGTTTACAAGTTGAGTCTACAGAAGCTCCACGAGTTTACCTAGACTCTTGAGTTTGACCACCTTTCTAGTTAGAACTTAGAACTAAAGACTTTGATGAATATGTTGGAGCAGATAAAACTAATGGAAGTTTGATTGTCACAAGGCTCGAGTAAGAATGTTTTGCAAATAGGGTTGCCTGGCTCAAGTGAAAATGAGTCACACAATCAAAAATCTCAAGTTACAAATTATGTCCGAATTTGCTCAGTTGTGAAGAAGATAAACTTTCGAGTTTCAACAACATTGACCCTGGCACATGGGTAACAAGAGTAGAAACATACTTTGAAATTACGGAAACTTGACTTGAGTTGAAGGTGCGTTTAACTAAGATTTGTATAAAGGGGCCCATTGTGCATTGGTTCAATCTCTTTCAAATATTTGTCACTAATGTCTATTAGGGAGTTGTCCTAATTGTCACCTATCTCATTAATAGGTTAGCCAATCATGTCTTACAGGGTATTAGGCTAGTTGAACACAGTTCTTTTCTTCTTCCCTATTTTTAAGTCTCTCATGTCATGTAGTGTGCATGTTGCATTTGTTCATTCTTATAGACCTCATTGTGGTAAGTTAAACCCAAGAGCTATCGATTGTGTCTATTGGTTATCCCTCCAACAAAAAGGGATACAAGTGTTATTACCCTTATAGTCATCGAGTTTTTGCATAAATGGATGTCACATTTCATGAAATAGTACCCTTCTTTATCAACCCTCAACTACAGAGGGAAGAGTATTTGGATCATTACCTCTTCTTTCCTTGTAGGATGTAAGACACTAATCTTGAAAAAAGCACAAGAATATCACAAACTTGATGAAGCACAAGATCACAATGAAGAAACAAAGAAAAATCACAATGATGCAAAGGAGTAAGATTGATTCATGAAAAAGAAATGTAAAAGGCAAGAAAAACTCACTCTACACCCACAACAAATTGATTTATCTAAACAAGAGGTAAATATTCCTGAGGATTGATATCCTATTTCTCAATTTGTTTGTATTGACCATCTCTCTATCCAACATCAAAGCTTTATTGTAGTCATTGATGCAATCAAAACACTTGCATAAGTCCAAGAACCTCTTGAAGATAGAAATTGGATTACAGACATGAGTGAAAAGATTGAGGCAGTAAAGAGAAGCTCAACTTGTGACGGTACAAATGGATATACACGGTGGCCAAGGGGTACACAAATCTATGGCATTGACTATGCAGAAACATTTTCCCATGTAGCAATAATGAATATAATAAAATTATTCTCTCCCTAGCTTCCTAATTTGGCTACGATCTACAATTTGATGTTAAAATCACCTGGAAAAGGAAGTCTACATGGATATTCTCCCAGGATTTTAATCTCATGGTGGAGAGAACTACGAGTGTAAGTTGAAAAGGGTTTTGTTTTGTACGATTAAAAACAATCTCCCAAGACATGGTTTGGAAGATTTACTCAAGCAATGAAGTCCTTGGGATACAAACAAAGTCATAGTGATCATACTTTATTCATAAAACATTCCTTTGATGGCAAACCACCCTTTCTCTTGGTGTATGCAGAGGATATGATCGTTGCTAGTGATGATGAGGCTGATAAACTAATTCTGAAAGAAAAGTTGAGAATTCATTTTGAAGAAAAATAGTTCGAAAAGCTTAAGTATTTCCTTGAAATTGAGGTTGCCTATTCTAGAGGAAACGTTTGTATTTCTCAAAGGAAATATGTAGTTGATCTTTTGAAGAAGACATGATAATTGAGATGCAACACCATAAGAGTGCCCATTGAGCAAAATCACAAAATTGGAAGCAAAGAAACTCCACCTGGAAAGAAGTCACAATAACATAGATTGGTAGGGAAATGGATATATCTATCACACACTAGGCCTGATATTGTCAATGTGGCTAGTCAAATTATTGACCCCTATGAGAGACACCTTCTGGCAATTGAGGGGATTCTCAAGTATCTTAAGGCAAGTGTAAGGAAGGGATTATTATTTTAAAGGAAAGGTATATTATCCATGGAGATACACACTAATGTTGACTATGCAGGGTCAACCACAAATAGAAGATTCACTATCAATTATTGTAAGTTTCTTCATGGAAATCTAGTAACATGGAGAAACAAGAAGCAAAATGTAGTTGTTCGATCTAGAGAAAAAACTAAGTTTCAAGCTATGGCCATGACATATGTGAAGGATTATGAATGAAAACTATTCTTGACGACCTCAAAGTTAAATATAAGGGTCCTATGAAGTTGTTTTGTGATAACAATTTGGCTATTAACATTGCTCATAACCCAATTCAGCATGATAGAACGAAAAATAAAAATTGATAGGTACCTCGTCAAATAAAAGTTGGATTGGGGGACTTATAGTTACAACTCATACCTACAAGACTTCAAGTAGCAGATGTCTTCACAAAGGGACTTCCTAATACTAGATTACAAGATCTTATTAGCAAGTTGGGCATGATTGATATTCATTTACTAACTTGGGGAGGAATATTATAAATATCATAGATGTTTAAGATGTAAAAATTATCTCTAAATATCTTCATATATTTGTTTCCTTATTTCTTTATTATTGTTATTTCCTTTTTAAAACATTTACCACCCTATAAAAAGCAAGATCAAGAAATGTACAAAATACACAATTAATATATAGTTTTCTTTTTTTAACTCTATCAATGTGTGTAAATCTCTCATGAAATGAGTTTGGATTGGAGTTTATGTCCTTTGTGGTTGTATGCATGGATTTATAAAGTGTGATTCTTAAAAATTGGCTTGTATGCATTACCTAAATTAAATGTTGGTGTAAATAGCCAGAAGAGAATGAGTAAACCCTGTTGAGAATAGATAGAATTATGCTTTACTTTTTAGACAGAACTGATCTCACTTGATTTAGAGGTTCCTATGATTTATGGCAGTGATTCAATTGTACTGTTCTAATTAGGCAATTATTGAAAACAATGTGTGCCTTGAAGGGATATATAAACATGTAAATTGATGGAAGTTTCTTGAGTAATGACCCTGATTCTAATTGCCCTATTTTGGTATGCTAATTATGTGTCTTGAATCAGCCAATAAGTATCTAAGCTTAAGTCATACAAATGTTAGATATAAAGACAAATTGATAGCCAATTCTTGGTTGAATTGTTCTTGAAAGGCCCTGTTTTGCGTGTAATGCTGAGAATTCTATAGATCATATCTCTAAATTCCCTTTGGTGATGCTAAATCTCTGTCTACTTTGCGATGCTTTTGGTCCCACGCTTTTTAGAATTTTCTATGACTTGTGACAATTTTTCTAGTGCAGCATGCTCTGTTGAACTTTGAATCTGTGTGGTCATTACCATTGCTAAATTCTGTTGTGTTTGGGGTATAATATGCTTACCCTGTATTTTTAGTTTGCACTAGACATGATAAGGTTCTAAGGGAGTTAGAATCACTCCATTAATTCACTATAAATTTCTAAAGATGAGAATGATGATGGACACATGTTCCAAAAAACTGTTGACTATGTTTGATGGAACTGAATATTGTGGCACCTAGAATGGTTGCAAAAATCTAAAAATATTCCCAGTGATTCCTTATGGCCAACACTTGAATCGAACTCCAATCCTTGATAAAGAAATACATGTACCAAACTATTTGTAATTTTGTACTAATGACCGTTGGTATATTTTGTCTATTTTTAACTGAGAAACAATTTGACTAGATTTCATTTTTATTCTATTTCATATACAATTGTTTATCGGGTGCCTTAAATTTCCGCTACACCTATTTGAATAAAAATGAATGCATCACTGTTTTACGACCATATGACTTTTCAAACTACAAATAACAAAATTTCTTATTTTATAAGACAGCTAGTTTTTAATCCAACACGAAAGTTTTCCCACTATTTTCTGATGTCTTAAGTTGCTCAAAATCCTTTTCAATAAAATTTGACAGCATTAAGTCCTAATTCCGACAGGTGGACTACTACAACAGGGATATGGGAAGGAAAAAGTAATGAAAGAGAAAGGCATTGCTAGTAGTAAGGACTTGTCACGATTCATTGGTTCATATAAAATCCATGTCCTAGATTTATCAAAAAACATATTTTCACTTAGTGTATATAACAAAATACAGTGAAGGGTCTGCCCCCGAAAGAGGGTAATAAGAGTTGAGTCCTCTCCGAATCGCAGGAGATAATTGCCCATCATACGACTCGCCAACTTCACTGGCCTCTACGTGAGACTCGCTCCGAGCAGGTTCGAATTACAATACACGGCTCTGTGAAGGAAGTTGCAGGTGGGTTGTTGAATGAAACCGATTATATTTTAGATTTAAAAATCTAAATCGGATAGAATAGATGGATCTATCTTTCTCTTGATATATATATATATATATATATGACTAAAAAATGGTTTCCTATATAGTTAAGTAGCGTAAGCACCTAAATCCTTGATTTAGCTAGGGCCCAGGAAGCGAAGAGAATAAGCTTTGGTTCGGATGTACTGTGCCATTCTTTCCCAACTAAAAACCATGTGTTTTGTTGCATGACAATAAGCGAAAAGGAGAAAGGAGACGGATGGGAGAACAAAATATCAAGTTTCTATCATTTGATTAAGAAGAGAAATATGAAGCGGAAAAGTTGTATTTTTGGACCCACTAGAAAACACCCTTCACCCCCAAAATTGGCGTCAAACAACATGAAATTCATTTCGTGTATATAACCAAACAAAACATGATTGATCCCAACTTTTTTCAAGAACGTAACAAACTTTCACGAAACTCAAACTTAAAATGGTTTTCTTTAATGTATTTCAAAAAAAAAAAATTGCCTTCTTTAGTGAAAGAAAAGACACTAAAAAAAAGCTTCCACAAAATCTTGCAGAATTGAAGGAGCATTTACTTTTAGTAAGTGAAGGGAGAAAAAGGCTAAGGACTTCATAAATGCACGACAGAATGCCACTTCTAATTTCTGCCTGGTTATGCTACCATATCCTTGTGCACTAATAAAGAATTGCTGCCTCAAGAAGAAAGTAAGAGGTAGGATCAAATTTACCTGTAATCATATGTTAACGGCTCTCCAGCTTTTATGGAACGAGCAGCAAATACACCCACACGTGTTTCACCATCAACTTGCCTGGAAGAAACCACGAGTTTAGACTTAAATATAAGAGAAATAACTACTGAATAGATCAATAGATTCTTTTGGTAATCTACAGCAGATATGCCCACTAAATATACAACATATGTCAATCAATTGCAAAGCAGGAGCTTATAATAAAGAAGAAAATCTACTAATCAACCATGTTACTTGTTAAGCATGAGACTATGAACCGCTTCATTCAATACAGCAGTAAAGGGCTTACAATATTAACTATTTCCTTTTACGGAGACATGGCTAATAAACTACATAACTAACATAAACTCAAGATTTATTTCTATCCTTAGTGTCTAAAATTGATGGATATCATCATCAAGTCAGGAATTCGATATTGGCAGCACTACCTGATTCCAAGCTAAGAACAAGATGCTAAGAATCTAAAGCATATTTCATTCCAAGCAATATATTTAAATCATGCATATAAAGCATATCTTATTTGAGTACATCAAGGAAAATACAGCGCATAATATCAGGATATACTGCACTCAAGTTTTTAATAGTAACTTGGTTCCCTAGGAAACTATATCTACAGAATCTGTGTAATGAATGGAAATGATAAGAGGACAAAAGAGATAATTGACATAGCAGCTGACATTGGACACGTGGTAGCTGATCTACCAAATCAGGTAAGGAGGAGGAGTGCGTGCACCAAGAAAACTAACTCCAGGCTGCACAATTTTGTGTGGGAGAGAAAATAGTATATAGCTTTCTGTTATAGGAAGAAATGGGGGGAATAATGATTTTCTAATCACTCTACGAATTCTCTTTTGATTCATGTTGCCATTACAGCATTACACTTGCATATTTACTTGATTCTTGATTCGTAATATACATAACCCATACACAATTTATACAGAACACTCTGAAGAGTGAGAAAATAATACAGCCTTGGACAAGTACGTTGGTATCAGACACTAACCACTTTTCCAAAACACAGTTGGGATCACAGCTATGGTTCAAAAAGCGTGAAGTATTTCCTTTGAATGTTGCATCTATTGTGAAGTCTTTCCGAATCTCACACATGTAAAAATTCTGTACCCCTCTGTATTTCATGTCCCAAAGCCTTTTTTCACATAAGGCATCGTCAATGACTGCAGCAGAAAATATTTTTAGTTAAGTGAATAAATTGCATAGTTTAAAGATATAAGCTACAGAAAACAAACAGTTAAGAAAATCATATGCTTCAAAGCATCCCTGAATAAATGGCCTTTTATATTTTCTATAGGACATACTAGATTATGGTACCAAAGAAGGGGAAACAAACGATGTTTGACAGTATGACGCTAAAAGCCATTTAAAAATAAGAGCTACCTTCTCCAATATACTCAATTATAAATCCACCTTTACCGATTGTTTCAGCGGCCTCCACTCCCCATCCACAAAGTTCAGTCTGAATAAAAAACAAGAAAGATATATGGTAATTCGTAGCAGTATAACGGAAACCCAAAAGAAATTACAAATATGCTTCAAATAAAAATATACTTCGTACATCTTAATGCAGTAAAATTTCACACCTTAACAATCTTGATCTTTCTCTCCTTGCGAAATGGCCGATTATTGCAATTTTCTGAACAGTGACAAGCCTTTGAGCAGCTTATGCATTGAACCCTGATACATGATAATGTCGTGCAATAATTAATGTATAACGTTGGTTATGATATCTTACTTGACATGTATACTATTACAACCAATTATAGTGACATGTACATATAATAATGTATAGCACGATATTTGGTGTAAAACTGTCGGTGTACAACCTCTTCAACGTAAAGGGTGAAGGTGAACAAAATTTTGTCGTACAGACAAATATTTCTCAATATAATTTGTTAACTCAATAGGAGTATCAGGCATCATTGCATCAATATCTTTATTCTCCATGTCTGGGATCACCAAATTTTCAACAGTAAAAAATCATTTACAAAAAATATGCACCTAGATTATCCACATCTACATGAAGTTTCATTCAAAACCAAAAGGAAAAGAAAAAACACTCAAATAATTCACATGTACCTGCACACACAATCATCAGAACATGTAGAACTGCAACTTGTGCACCCTGCACCATCATCCACGTCACTACGTTTCTTCTTTACTAAGTATATATCTGATATTTTAATTCAGGCTAGCAACATGATGAGCAGTGCAATAACTAACTTGAAAACTACTAATTATACCAGAAGTAAAAATCAAGTTCTTTCACCTAACATTCTGAAAGGGCTATGCTTGTTTTATTTTTATTAAATATAGTAGCTGCTTCAGAATAACACATAAGATAACAAGAAAAGATGTAGGATACTGCGCCTTATGTGTACATATGGTGGTGGTTGCTCCATCTTACTGTCCATATCTTTCCAATTGAAGTCAATCTTAAACTCCTCACTGATGAATGGAAGAGGCAAGCGACAAAATACCTCCTGGAAAAGATAAGAAATTTTTCAAAATTGATATTAATGAAATTACAAAATTCTGATGCAAATAACTGGATTGATTCATTCAAACAATAAGGAACCAGCAGATATAATGATTGATGAGCAATCAAAGTCATTAAAATACATAGTCATTAAGAATTGTATTAATTAATTTAATAATACAAATTCCTTTTCTTCTCAAGCACATTATATATTATTCATCTTATAACAGGTGCCCATAAATGCCAAATATATCATGCTTCACGAAATGCACCAGCACAGGATATATACATAAGTGCAACAGATGTAAAATATTTTTCATAAGCCTTACCGAAATATCACTTGTTGAAGCATCATGCTGCTCATCCAACAAATACAACATTCCTGTCAGCCAGCCTAATCAATGAAAAATACCAATAAAAAAATAAAACTTTGAAAATAAATATCTAAATCTAGTGAGAAATAGTCTACAACTATATGAAGCATATTGTAGTGTGACAACTAAGTCAATTTAAACATTAAATAAGTTTATGAACTGTGTAGTGCCATTAGACATGTGCAATACATGATCCTCCACGTGAAAGATTTATAAAAGGAAAGACATGACAAGGTGAGAAAAAGAAAAAAAATTGCATATGGGTGGGGATCTAATGGAAGAACACTCCACAAGTTACAGTATAATCAATAAACAGTAACAGTGAAAGATTCTGGTGAAAAGAAAAAATTGACCTTTCTATCCAGACGCCAATCAGAAGGATGCCTCCAACAAACAGCTTTCCCAGGATGATCTTTTAGATGCAACACTGCATCTGGCCATGGTGAACATTTACTGTGGAATGCAATATTACAACACACACACCTCAAGTTCTTATTTTTCTTGCAAATGAAGCATACCTGTTCATTGAAGGACTCAATATGAGTATGGCAAGACAAGGAGGACAAAATAAAGGAAAAAGACTGGGTGCAGTTGGGTAAACAGCTTAACTCAATACTTATTCAATAACCTCTTGTTAAATGAGAATTGTACATAAGTTTGACTGAGTAACCCAAAAAAAAAAAGTTAAAAGGAGCTTGCTGTTGTAAATTTCTTGTTCAAAATTTGAAACAAGCTAATAAGCCAAACGCAGCTTATAGGAAGGTCACCAGCCACTTCCATAAGCCCAAATAAGATCTTCCAAATGCCCCCTATATCCAAGATAGCAACTATAGCATGTGTTAAAGGATATCCTGATCAGGAACACTCACAAAAACACAAAAGAAGTTTGTATCGTTTACTATTGATGACACAAAAAATACCTACAAAAGCTAATTATTATTTTGACAAATTAAGCTAAGTCAATATTCTCAAAAGTTAAAATGAATAACTAGACTAGATTTGAGAAATCTTTTGGAAGGACTCCACACATCAATATACGTGCTTTCATACCAAATCAATTCCAAGTTCATCAGATGACACAAATAAATACCACCTAAATGATACATTACATGTCCACTTAATCTCGTATACATTCATAAGTCAGAAGAAAACCATAATTCACATGATAAACCTTAATTCATATGCCCAAAGCCAAATCACACACGAAATCAGTGTATTAAAGAAGAGACAAAAATTGCATTCACTAAAAACCCACATGCTGTGGACACTTGAATTTCTTCAGACTGGAAGGCCCAACAGCTTCTTTTGCACAATCCAAATGGTAGGGCGCGTCGCATCCGCGGACAGAACACAAGAGCTCCTCCCCAGGGTCGATAAAATGGCGGCAAAAGCAACATTCACTCTGAACCAAGACACACGAAAACATAAATCAAACCCATCACCAGTTACAGAAACAGTTAGCAGCTATATTCCGTAATTTAAAAAAAAAAATTATAAAAAATTATAAATAAAAAAAATAAAAATAAAAAATACCATCTTGGGAGCGCCAACGAGAAATGGAAGAGGGAAGGGGTGTTTGAGGCGATCCTGGAAGGGCGTGTCGGTGACTCGATCGAGGGAGCCGCGGGTGCGCTTCAAAACGCGAGGCTCGAAGGGAGGGTCGGAACCGAAGGCATCGGGTAGGGTTTTGACGGGAGCGTCGGCGACATCGGAGGAGCAGTGAGAGAGAGTGAGAGTCGCAGAGAAAGATAAGTTTCCCAAATCTGGCATCGCGGGAATCCTTAGAAGAAACTTGCCAAGAGCAAGAGACGCATAGGGTGGGTGGGGGAAGAAAATGTAGAACAAGAGGAAATGGGCGGGAAACTGTGCTTTTGTAATTTTCAGGGGCCGGGTCGTGGGTGCGGTGTGAAACCGTGAAAGTGCCCAAGGATGCACATCATTCATGCATGTGACAAAGGTTTGTATTTACGGTTTTGCCACTTGCGTTGCGCCCAAATTTTGAAATTTTGCGTGCAAAGACAAAACTGGCTGAGGGAGTGTCTACGCAATCAGCCGTCGGAGACTCCTGTAGTTGCAACTAAGCTGAATGTTTTTTATTTTTTCGAAAGTTTTAAGTTGTATATTTTGGTTTCACATATTTGGTAATTATTTAAAAATTTTCAAAAATATAATTTTTTGGAAACTATTTTTATTTTATATTTTCATAAAAATATTTTTATGGACGATAAAAATCCAATTTTTTAAATTAAAAAAAATTGTGTATTTTCTCAATCTTTATATTTCTATATCTCTCCCTCTTTCTCGGTCTCTCACTCTCCCTCTCTTTTTCTCTCTCCATCATTGTCTCCCCCTCTCTCTAACCCTCTCCCTCCCTTCTTTCTCCCTCTCATATCCTTCTTTTTCTTTCTTTCTTATATCTCACTATTTTTTTACTTTGTCAATTTTAATAATATTATTAAAATTTACTTTATTTATATATTTTAATAATATTTGTTAACACTTTATTATTATTTTTATTTTTTTTATCTAAATGAGATGAAATAATTTATTTTTATTCTTCTTAATTATAATGTAGCATTTTCTTTTTTTATTTTTGTTGAATTTTGTATTTAAATAATTTTTATAAGTTTTCAACTTTTTAAAATAGTTTAATATCATATTTGTAATAAGATTTGAGTAAATAAATATATCTAATGAATTTATTTTTAAAGGATATTTTTGTAAAAAAATATTTATATACATAGGAATATATTATTGTAATCAAACATAAAAATCTTTAATTCTTGAAAATCCTTTATGAATATTCTCAAAAACTTTTATGAGTAACCAAACATATTTTAGTTATTCCCAAGAATCATAATTCCTGGATATGAATATGATGCAAGCTAAACTAATCTTTGTTAAATGTAACTAAGGATAATTATCTTGTACTTAAGTTAATCAACTCTAGTTACTTGTCCAGAAGCTTATAGAGCAAACTAAGTTAATCCTAGTCCAAGAATAATCTAGGTTAGCTTAATTTGACTTCAACTACTTGACTTAATCATTAAATCTAATAAGCTAATGTTTACTAAAACAAGTTGTTGAGTATCAACAACCATGTGACTAATTAACAACTTGGATGGCTTATCTAGCATGGTTTAGGCGTCCAAACCACTTGCTTGTGCAAGTGGACATATAAACGAAGGTCCAAATAAAATATTGACCTATCAAAGCCCTAAAAGTCCAACATGACTTAGGCTAGTTACACCTCCTCTAAACTACTAATTACACCTCAGAATAAAATCAATACAAGGACAAATGTTGATGAAACCAGTTGGAGGATGGTTGATTCTTCACTCCAAATAGCTTTTAGTTTGATCCTAATATTCTTCCATGGATTCTTGAAGTTCAAAAACTCAAAAATGATGGAGAAGGAAAGAGATGTTGATGTGCCACTTCCAATGGTGGAAGATAAGCAAAAGATGATGTTCTTGCCACAAAGAAGATTCCTTGATAAAAAAAAACTTAAGAAAAAGTTTCTCTTTTAGAGAGAACTAGAGAATTTAATGAAGAGAGAAATATGATCTCAATCTCATAAATACTCAAAGTGATCGAATATAACAAGGAAACACAATTTTGTAGGGTTTGGTAGCTTATGGTGCAAGCTAAGCTAACCTAGGTTAAGTTAACTTGAACTCAAACTACTTACCCTAACCCTAAGCTAATCATTCAGCCAAGTCAAGCTCCAAGTGTCACTAACTTAGATCTAGAATGGCTAATGAGAGCTTTCCATGTGGACAAACAAGGAAAGTGCGACTCATGTCATCTTAGATTTAAAAAAGCCATTAGAAGTTTGCCATGTGACACATGTGTTTGGTGTGACTAGACAAAGCCATGTGTCATGTTGCCTTGCTTGGATGGACAACAGGACAAGTGGTCCCCACATGTCTTGGACGTCCAAGCCACTTGTACAAGGCAAGTGGACATCTAAGTACATGGAATGAAAAGGCCAAATTTGGCCCATCGAAGCCCAACACAAACCAATGGTTTTTTTTATAGTTACTGATGGCATCCTTACTAGCATTGGTGGAGAGATGATGACCAATGTGAAGGAAGCCTTGACTCCTTGGATCATGTTCTTCAAGATTGACGTCTTTGATGGAGGATAGGATGAAAATGGAGGTTGGATAGAAGGTGTTTGATGAAAGGCTTGAGAAGACACTCTAGGGTTTGGCTCACTCCATGGATGATGAAGGCCACTTCTAGGGTTTCTCTCAAGGTGAAGATAGGTAGGGTTTCGCCAAATATTAGCCAAGAGTGACTAAGGAAAATATTAAGGCACAAGGCTCACTCAATATTATAAATTCCAAAGTATTTACAAGGTGGATAGTCTAGGGTATTTATAGAAGGGATGATGCATTTAGGGTTTCATTTGAGAGTGCATAGCCAAGTAATGCAAGCCAAATGCACTTCAAATGAAACCTAAATTAACCCTAGATTCTACTTGGTGCCCAAGGATGGAATCTTTGGGTTTGGTTAAGCTACAACTAGGTGCATGATAAGACCATGCAACATAGGTGCCCTCCACTTGGGCCTAAGCCTTGCCATGTCCAAAAATAAATATAATGCTCACCAAAAACACATCTAGGCTTAGTTTCTAACCCTAATAAATTACTCTAGTTACAAAATAAAATCCTATAATCTAAGGCACCCCATAATACAAGGGTAAAATGGAAAATTAAAGACAAGGGCAAAATATGAATAAATCCTATACTAATAAAAACGTAGGAGCTAAGGCCCAAAAGTAGGCCCAAAATACAAGGGTAAAAATGGAAAATAACTTCAAGCAAAATAATCCCTATACTAATGAGGCTTTAGGAGAGTAATTAGTACTCTATGATCATGAAGAGAGTGTCTCTTGGTGTGTGAACTCCCTCCTCCTCTTCTACCCTCCTAGCCATGGACCTAGTGATGGGGCCCACATGTACCTTCATGGATGGTCCTCCATCATCCCCTCCTTCTTGAGAAACATTTGTCCTCAGATTGATAATTTCATCCATATCCCCAGCTCCTAAAAATAGTGTGAGATCATAAACATTAAAATATGAGCTAGTGTCATACTCAAAAGGAAGGTCTAATTGATATCCATTGTCATTTATTTTGTGAAGGACTTGGAATGGTCCATCTCCCCTAGGGTTTAGCTTTGACATCCTTTGAGTGGGAAATCTATCCTTTCTCAAATGAAGCCATACCCAATCCCCAACCTCAAAAGTGATTTTCTTTCTTTCTTCCTTTGTTGTTGTATTTGGCATATTTTTGTGTTTGGTTTTCAATTTGACTCTTAATTTTCTCATGGTATTTCTTAATCAAAATATGCCCTAAATATGCCTTCTTTGTGAAACAAGGAAGAAGTATTAAGGAGTGCGAGTAAATCAAGAGGGGTTATTGGGTTAAAGCCATATACAACTTCAAAGGGTGAAAGATTAGTAGTCTTATGAACTACTCTATTGTATGCAAATTCTAGGTGGGGTAGACAATCATCCCAAGTTTTCTTATTCCCTTTTAGGAGTACCCTTAACAATGTGGATAGGGACCTATTTACTACTTCGGTTTGGCCATCGATTTGGGGATGACAAGTAGTAGAATAAATTAGCTTTGTTCCTAATTTTTCCCATAGTACCTTCCAAAAGTGACTAAGGAACTTAGCATCCCTATCGAACACAATTGTCTTGCCATGCAATCGGACCACTTCCCTAAAGAAAAGTTTAGCTATATAGCTAGCATCATCCATTTTGTCGCATGGTATAAAATGAGCCATTTTACTAAAATGGTCCACTACCACAAAGATGCAGTCAAATCCCCTTTGAGTTCTTGGAAGTCCAAGCACAAAATCCATACTAATATCTATCCAAGGGGAGCTAGCTATGGGAAGAGGTGTATAGAGTCCATGAGGCTTACTTTTGACTTTGTTTTAAGATAAGTGATGCATTTGGAGCAATGCCTTTGGACATCTATTGTCATATGTGGCTAATAAAATTTAGCTTTTAAGAAACTTAGGGTCTTGTCAACCCCAAAATGGCCCATGAGACCCCCTTCATGACTTTCTTTGACCAAAAGCTTTCTAATGGATCCTTGGGGTATGCAAAGTTTGCCCATCCTAAAGAGATACCCTTCAAGAATATAGTATCCATCAAAAGGCTTTTGAAGGCATTTGGCATAAGTGGTTTGAAAGTCTAAATCAAGCCCATACAATTCCTTAACATCAACAAAACCAAGTATTTGTGTACCTAGGGTGGAGAGCAATGTATGTCTTCTTGAAGGAGCGTCGGCCACCACATTGCTCTTTCTCTTTTTATATTTGATGATGTAGGGGAATTGTTCAAGTATTCCACCCACTTTGCATGCCTTTTATTCAACTTCCTTTTCCCTCTAAGATACTTGAGTGACTCATGGTCGGTATGTATAACAAATTCTTTAGTCATTACGTAGTGCTCCCAAACTTGGAGAGCTCTTATAAGGGCATAGAGTTCCTTGTCATAGGTGGGATAATTCAAGGTGGTCCCATGAAGTTTTTCACTAAAGTAGGCAATGGGGTGACCTCCTTGAAGTAACACAACACCTATACCAAGACCGGATGCATCACATTCTAGCTCAAAAGTTTGATCAAAGTTTGGAAGAGCTAGGATGAGTGCATTGGTGAGTTTCTCTTTTAGGGTTTTGAAAGCTTTTTCTTGGGCTTCACCTCAAATGAACGGTTGATCGGTGTCGTACCTGATCAAATAGAATATGAAATTTGTAGTACTAGGAAGTGACTCTTAGGTCGTCTCTCAAGGAGCAACAAGCCAGTCCGAGGTCTTTTTAATGCAAACACGAATACACACACTATGGGGGGAATTTCAGATTCAAATGAATGAAACAGTAAATAATGAATAGTAAGTAACTGAACAATGACTCTCTAACTCAGTTGTAGCATCATATCCTTGGTTCGAAATATTTTCTCACTAATCTAACCCTCTATTCAATCTGAGTAACCACTAAGCGTCATTACCATCATTAAACCCATACATACAAA